AAGAGTAAACTTGATTTTGACTTGATTCTCCTTAAAATTGAATGTAGGGTTGATTCCCTTGCTTCCCACGCTCCAACAACACCTTTAGTCGACAATTGGCCTCCAAGGGTTCATCCCTATCCTAGGGTATCGATCTGAAAGTCCCTTTATATAGATTTTCACAAAACAGGGGCTACTCGGCGAGTCCATTGACCTACTCGGCGAGTTCATCACTTAAAACCCATGTACGGCAAGTCAGCGCGTCCAAAATCGCGAAACTTCAGACCAACTCGGCGAGTAATCGACCCTACTCGCCAAGTACGTTTGGAATCAGCATTTTCTCAAAACACGAAAGTCATCCTAAATTGTTTCTAGTTTTCAGAACATTTTGAATCTCGTCAATCGGAGTTACGGTTCATCAGATATCGCCAAAACACTGACGAGGGGTCAAGCTGTCCAGCAACGTCCTTCTTTCTTCAAAATCCAAGATCCAAGCTTCCAATCGCTAGTTCCGCTTCCTTTTCCTTCCGAGCATGTCATTATTGCTGAAACATGAAATTCTAAACTAATTAAGCACCTTTTGCTCATTAAATGAGATAAAATCAACATAAAGTATTAAGATAATGCATGAATTTTATAACTAAATATGCCCATATCACTGATCATTGGACTCGGCGAGTCCATTCCATGCAGTCAATCAACTGCCTCCTGTAATTCGCATGGTTCCGAAATATATAGACATGGGACTTCCTGGACCTTTAAACATACTATTACTGGGATTTAAACGCTTGGTAACAACACTATAATCTATCTAATCACTAAATGGGTTTCCTAAACCCTAGATTCGTGTACAACACCAAAACAACAGAATGATCCGAGTATTACCTGGAAAACGTGTTCTCTGTGTCCCCAACCTTCAGAGCTCAATCCTCTTGATCCTCCTTTGACCACAACCTTGCCTCTTCTTGCCTAACAACTCCTTCAAGTTTCCACTAGCCTTCACTCCTGCTCCAGATGCCCACAGACGTTTAGGTTATCTTCAATCGGCCAAAAGACGAGAAATGACGGCCCTAAAGACGTTATATACGATCCAGAATCAAAACGGCTAGGGTTTCTGCTGAACAGCGTCGACTCGCCGAGTCCCTAATGGACTCGTCGAGTCCAGTCGCGAATCTGTGACCAAGACCGTGGTCCTACTCGGCGAGTCAGGCACCAACTCGCCGAGTCCCCTCCTAAAAATGCCCCAAAAATAGATTTAAAGCAATACCTGAAATTCCGGGCTGTTACATATATATATATATATATATATATATATATATATATGTTAGAAGAAAGTGATCACATACTCACACGTATAAACAACAATATGTATACACATAGCATGTATTTTATAAAATACTTCATATGTATGTGTAAGATGAAAGTGACTATACACTCACCCAAAACATATACTTAATACATTCAAACAATACTTGTATTATAATCATGTTTATGAAAGGGACTATACACTCACTTGATCAGAAGATGATCGGACAACACTACGACTTGTAGAAGTAGTATTCTTTGGTGAAACCGGGATCACTTCACACACCTAGTTTCTCGCGGGCAGAGCTTCGGCTCGGAAACTCTTTTCTTCTCGGGATCTTCGGGCTTCAGGACTTGCTTCGGGTCTCGGGGTTGATATCGGGGATTCGGGGGTACTTCTTTGCATGTAAATCGATGTAATATGGGAGAGAGATGAGAGAATGAGCAACCAAACTCGGCTAGCCCTTCAAATCTATTTATAGGGCAAAACTGGCCCTTGCCACGTCGTGGGCTTGATTGTCACTGCATGCATCATCCTAAGTTGCATCTGGGGGACTCCCGGAGGTGTCAGGAGACTTGCCACGTCGTGGTCTCTGACAGTTTTGGGGTTTCGCGCCCCGAACTTCAGAAATTCATAACTTTCGCATACGAACTCCGTTTTCGACGTTCTTTATATCGACGCGAAGGTGAGATTATGCTCTACAACTCTCATTTAGACTCCATTGGCTAATTTTGACTTAATTTTTAATATATTATAATTATATTAGTTATATATTATTTTTAGTAGGCCGGGACAGGAAAACTCCGTTATAAACTCATAACTCCTTCATCTAAACTCCGTTTTCGTTTGTCTTTTTATCGTTGGACTACTATCGCTGACATCTTCAATTCTCATTTAGATTGTTTTGGATAAATATCGCTCTTAACGTAAATTCACTATTTACGTTACGTTGTGTCGTGCCGGTTCTGTCGCGAAACTTCAACAGGTCATAATTTCTTCGTTATAACTCGGGTTTTGGCGTTCTTTATATGCACGGAAACCTTGTGACATATACTACAAATTGGTTAAGATTGATCCTTATAAATAATCTCCCATCAAAAATTCATTTTTGATGCTTATCGTCTCTAAATTGACTAGCCCGGATCTACGGGAGTTACAATTTCCCAAAGACCATGCTTCTTGGACCAAAACACAATAAAAGAGATAATGAAGAGATCCAAGAGATTATTAAGCAAGTTCAAGACTTGCTTACCAGAAAATGATGAGGATGGGATGAAGTTGTTGGATCTGTAATCTCCTCCTAGAGTCTTCAAGCCTCTCCTTCTTCCACAAGCTTTAAACACACAAGATTTCTCTCAAAAAATGGCTCACAAACTCACAAAATGCATTAGGATTTCCAGACTTAGGGTTTGGGACTTGGAGGCTAAGAATGAGGGGATTAAGATGATTTTATATGGTGCAAAACCCCAAAATTAGGGTTTCACCCCTGGCAGTCTACTCATCGAGTTGAGGGCTCTCGACTCGTCAAGTAGGTTGCTTAAAACCCGTGTCTCTTCTGATCTCTACTTGACACGTTTGGGGATCCCAACTCGTCAAATTTCTCTACAAAATGAATAAATTATTATTTAAATACATACCAGGAACCATGCTTTACATCGTTAGTGTTTTAAGATCTCTTCTAATGGATCTTATCACGAGAATATCCTAAGACGATTTTTAGACATGAATCATTCCACCCCTTCATCTGTAATTTGATATAGTTCGGTATCCATTTCATAAAGGTCATTTGTTTCATGTGGAGATCATGTTTGGGTAAAATTCCAACTACCTTTGCCTTTATCTTCGTAGGTGTAAATGTTCCCTCCATATCATGCCCTATGTGGCGATTTTGAAGTGGAGAATGTTCATCACTTACTATTGAATTGCAAGTTTGCTTTGGATGTTTAGGTGTGGATCTTGAACTGGTCCATAATTAATTCTTGGAATTTCTCAAGGATTCAGGCGTAAACTGATTTTGATGCAGAATGGGGTAATTGCCTTGAAAAAAAAATACGCCTTTCCATTTTTTGCGGGGCAATCATGTGCATTTGGAAATCACAAAACAAAAAGGTGTTCAACACGATTCCAACTACTCCCTCAAAGACTGTGGATAATGTTATTACCTAATTTTTGGTTGGGTAAAATATAAGGGTAGTTTTAGAAGGTTTAATTGGGCAAGCTGGAATTATTGCCCTATTAATATTTTATAATTCTTTTTTTCCTGTTGTGTTCCCTGCCTTGAGCCTTGCTTGGTTTGCGCAAACCAATTTTTTGTCATCTCATATATTATGTCACTTTCCATATACACCATTTTAGCTGAGAAATTGTCACCATACCAAAATAATTTCCATGTCATTTTTTTCAAGTTATAATTTTCTATTTCTTTTTTTTTTTATTTTTTTTATTTTTTTTTGATAATTTTAAAAATAAATTACTTAATTTTATAAAAAAAATTATAACATAATATGAAAATAAATTACATAATTTTTTTCTAAATACACTACTTGTCATCATCGTTAGCATCGTAGATATGATCCATCGTCTTGTCGAAAGTTGCTCGAGTTTTTGTGCGTCTTGAATATCAACGACTCTATGCAAAGATTCTGCTAAACATGGTACAAATTGCATGCGTCGAGGATCCTTTGACATATATTGCACCATATTCCATCCTTTATCTTCCACTACGATATTATGAATTATGATACATGCATACATAATATATCGTAAAGTTTCCAACTCATATGGACTTGTCGTATGTTCTACGATGTGTCACTTCGACTTTAGAACTCAAAAAACACGTTCTACATCCTTACATGTTGCTTCATGTCTTCTCCTGAATTGTTTTTCTCTTCGTTTCACTTGGTGTCAGAATCCCTTCACGAATGTGTAATACGTAGGATATATTCCATTTGTAAGGTAATACCCAAACTTATAGTAGTTTCCATTCATTGTGAAAGGAACATCTATTACTTTTCTGAACAAAATATGGTTGAATACTGATGATTGGTCAAGAACTTTGATGTCGTTGGAACCTGCAACCAAAAAAATAAGCATGTAAAACCCATAAATCTTGGGAAACAATGGCCTCTAATACCATCGAAGGCGTCCCATGATGACTACTTGCAAACTCCCCTCTCCACCCATCAGGACAATTTCTCCAATCCCAATGTGTGCAATCAATGCTTCCATTCATATCGGAAAAACATTGTCTCTCTTCATGTGCCAAATACAGGTGTTGCATATCATTCCTACTCAAGCGAAACATTTGTTTGAAATCCTTTAAATTCTATATACCATTATCTGCAAAGCAAGCTAGTAAAAAACGCTCGACGTTTGCTAGTACGTGAACTGAGGTTAAGAGATTAATACCCTAGGCAGAGAGTAATCGGGGGATTGATCGGATACCATTAATTATTAAGAAAAATATTCAAAAATTAATAAATCTAACTTTAATCCTAAGAATATAAGTAAATAAAATCATTAATAAAATTATACTTCATTAATATGTACACTCTGATAAATAAAGAAAGTAGTTAGTATATCTTGAGAACTCATTTGTTTGAACGATTAATATACTTATCATAAACTCACCAATAACGCATAACAAAGTACTCATATAAACCTACCTTAATATCTTCAGTTGGTTCTAACGGTAAGAATAAGCTAATAACTTCAACTTGGTTTTATTTCCTTGATTCGAAACGGTATGTAAGATACATATTTGTAACTTTGAACAATTAAAGCCCAATAAAAGCCTACTATGCATTGTAAAGTACATAATCAACAAGGTGTTCATACTTTAGAGGGACAAATAAGCCAACTCCTCATCTAACACAAGATTGAAGGTAGTATATTTCTTCATTCTCTCCCCAAAAACATAATATCTCTTATTCTCTCCAAACTCCAACTGCCAAACCAACTCCATATGTTGCACTAAGTGTTGTTGTCTCTATGTCTGGTCTCACCATGAGGCTACCCAATAAATCCACCTTCAATTTCACTTCAATACATTATCTAACACCAAAATTCATAACAAAATTAGTAAATCGAGAACATGTGAACACAAACAAACCTGAATCTGCATAAGAATATTACTGACAGTAGCCCTTCCGTCTACCCTAAGCAACAAACATGAATCGTTTTACATTGCTCACCAGTTAATCAATAAACAACTTAACACTTAATCAACATACCCAAAGCATAACCAATAATCATGGAACTCGAATTCTTCTCCTGAAGACAGTAGGTCACAGGTCGCAAGCAGTGGTCATTGTGAAGGCCAGAGGCGTTAAAGGAATCGGCGAATGTCGTTGTGGCGGTGATCGACATCAATAAAGGTTCATTTGATTGAGAGAGAAAGGGTTGAATCGTTCAATAATATAATTACAAGCAAGAAAGTATTTTGGTTGGGGTTGATGACTTAAAAGTTGTGATCGATCAAAGAGAAAAAAGTGGGGAAGATTGAGATGCAAAGAAGATATATGAAACTATTAAAAGTTTATACCACATCGCTAGTGGGAGTATTATTTAAAGGCAAATGCATTCTATAAAAAGAAGCTTGTATCTCTTGGAAAACCATACTCAACTACGTTTTGGGCAAGCCAACTCCTTTGAGCTGACAGGTCCTATAAAGTTAGTTGGACTGACTTTGTCCGATTTGGATCAATTTTGACCAATAGGCCAACTAGCCAACCCTTTAACCTCTATTCGTAGGTGGTTGGAGACCGCCTAATGTCTAGGTGTCGATTAATCAGTCGCCTAGGTCGATATTTACTAAAATGTTGCAAAGTAATCGTGATATAGACGTCCATATGCTTCCGTACGATTTCTGTTTAACCTCATGTTTCTTGTTTGTAAAGTGGCTTTATTTTCTTTTTCTAGCTCGTTAACGTAATACCCGTAGATCATAGTGATGAATATATCATCAATCATCATCATCAAATGACGAATCAAACGCATTCATAAAAAATTTTGTTGGAAATTTGTATAAAAAGATTAAAAAAATTTGAGTTTGGTGTTTAAAAAAATCAAATGGGTATTATATTTTTAAAGGATTTTTTTAAACAAAATTGACAGTTGGAGTGTTTTTCTTCGCATTGAGCACACGAGATGTAATTGGACATGTAGCCGGGACGATGTTCCTGTTGCCTCAATCGGGTTGAGGCTGTCCACATCATGGCCCATACCAAACAACTCAATTATAAAATGCTCAAAAACTTCAACGAGGAACAAATTAAGGTGGAATGGAAACAAACGGACATCTCGACAACTTATAGTTGAAGCATCAAATTCCAATTTCCCACACCTCAAGAAATTGTTCAAATGTCAACTCCTGAAATAATAAGATTTACTATTTTATTAAGCCGTTTAGATATTTCTATGTTGTTTGTATATTTACTTTGTACATCAACTTCAAAATATTATTTTCTTCGATCTATGCGGTTTCAAATAAGCGTATGTAGATTTTATTTATTATTAATTCAGTTTAAAACTATTTGATTACACACCCATTTTGTTGCCTCTAGAGTAAAGTATTGCCATATATATCCTAAAACAAAGTCTATAGTTCACCTTTTAGGCTATCAGGAGTGGTAGAGGAAAAGACGCGTGGGAGCTGACGTGTCAGCCCCCTTCACGCGTGAACACCGCCCCACCTTCTGGTGGGTGTCTTGTTCCGTGGAGTTGAAGACGGGTGAAGACAATGGATTTGATTGACTCTTTCTTTTTGACTGTTGCTTTATTGACCGTTTGTAAAAAAAAAATTTAATTAATTACTACCAATTCTCTATATATATCAACATATATTTTACCTTTCAAACACACACCAAACTTTGAACACAAACAAATATACTCTCATTCAAAAAATACACTTTCCTCCATGGATTCAAACCAAAATAACCCACCCACCCCAAACACCCCAAATACTCCAAATGATCCGTTAGCAAACATTGGCTATATGCAATTGTTATCATCCCCCGTTCAACAACAACCTTTATTTACCAATCTTTTATACCACCCACACTACTACCAAAACCAACCACAACCACAATTTGTTCAAACCTAATTTCAACCCTTTCAACAACAACCTCCTCCGCGTTTTCAGCCCCAAACTTTCCAACAGCCACAACCAAGTTCACAACCATCTCAAGTTTCATTATCGCAATCTCAACCCGTAAACCTCGACGATGAACGGGTTCAAGAAACACAACCAAGTCGTAGAAGGCAAAAAAAATCCAAAGATTCAACAAAGAAGAAAAACACCCAATAGACCGAGGAGGAGGAGGCGACTTTAGCTAAAGCTTGGATTGCCATATCACAAGACGGGGATGTCGCCAACGTGCAATCGGGACATAGCTTTTGGAATCGTATTTTAGACCACTTCCACGCGTTATTGGGAAGGCAAACGAGTCGGACATATGATTCAGCCAATGCTAAATGGCGCGATCTTAGAGCAACGTGTACCAAATTTAACGGCGTATTTGACAATTTAAAAAATATTCATCGAAGTGGTAGCAATGATTTCAACATTTTGTCAACGGCGTTGCACCAATACAAAATTACCAGTAATGGTAAACCTTTTGGCAACCAAAAAGCGTGGGAAGTTTGTCGCAATGGCCCAAAATGGGTCCTTTATCCGGAAACGGCGCATTCGGGATCTACCACCGGTTCCAACAAAAGGCCGAGAACGTCCGAGTCGGAGATCGGTGCTAACCTCGACCTCAATGATGAGTTCGACGCCACCGAGGATGAGGGTCCATCGGACGTCCATCTTCGTCGACCACCGGGTAGGGACAAAGCGAGAAAAGGGGCTTCGTCAAGCGGAAAATCAACCAACGAGGACGTGTTAGCGGAGAAAATCGAAAAAACTCTACATTTTTTAGAAAAAAAATTTGATTCAACGGAGGAGCAACGCCGGCGACAATTGGCACTCACCAATCTTCAAATCGTAAACACAGTGCCGCAACCCAATCTCGGCCCGGAAAATTTAAGGGTGTTTATGAAAATTCAACAAGAAGTTCTCGACCAATATCGCAACTAGATTTGATGTTTTTTTAATAATTTAGGTTTAATTTTCTAAGTATGGATTATGTTTTTTTAGTATTTTAGTTTTAATTTTTAGTGTTTTAAATTATGTAATATGGTTTTAATTAATATAAAATATGTTATTTATAAAGTGTTATTTATAAAATATGTTATTTATTTAATATTTTATTTATTTAACAAAATGGTAAAAAAATAAAAAAATAATATAAAAGTGAATGTTGTTAGTGGTGACCATTTCCATAGTGGAGTGGGTTGGTGGTGAAGGTGACGTGGCACATAGGTGGCGCCACTTTTTCGGTGAGTTTGTAGGGACCACTTCATATAGCCTTAGTGTCAAATGAGTTATTTTCCATATCAAAATAGAATAAATTTGTATTATTTGTTATTTTGAAACTACTTCAGCCATTCAATAAAAAATTGCAATGTTTTGACTCTATAAGTTTGTATAGAGTTTATTAATGAAGCATTAGTCAAATTTCCAAGATATTCTTTCATCAACACAGAATGAAAAATAATCTTGTTAGCAATAAGTAAGAATTTTCATAATTTGTAATCATCATACTGTAGATGCTTGTAAATGTTAGTATAATTCATATTTTATGACATGTCAACAAAAAGGTTAAAAACCAATCAACAAGAATTATGGCTGTATACTTTTGTAGATGATTTGTTATAAACATCAATCAAAAGCATAAGATCAAATAATGCAACAGACCACTGAAGTACCAAAAATATTACATTGTATCCTCAAGATTTAAAGAAAAAGGAGTTAAAGTTTAGGCCAATTTTCTCTTCAAAAATTCCCCCAAAATAACTTTGGAGAGAAAGGAAGAAACAAAAGCATACCTGTGAACTACAGTCATCAGTCTGAACGTTTGTACGATGGATGCCTTCTTGCACCTCTTGCATTTTCATACTCAAACTCCAAAATATTGGGAATGTGTGAAGTATCTTTGAGATAAAGCAACCTCCCAATCGAACTTTCTTCAATCGCCGGAAAACACCGTCTAATCTTACAATAAACCACCCAAAACCACACCCCACCAAGAAAAAGCCCAAGAGAAGCACCGGCAAACACCTGACCGACGGTATGGTACCCCAAATATACCCTAGAATACATCGTAAGCACTGCCAATGGCCAAACGACAAAACCCACGATCCACATTTGCTTTCTAAACAAAATCTCCAGTTTGTAATAAGTCAATAGAGTGAAATAGGTGGCGAAGAAGAACATGTAATTAGAATGGCTGGATGGCCAGCCATGTGAATCGCACATTTCGAGCAGGACGCAGGTTTCAGGTCGGGCTTGTTTGACGACTAGTTTGATCGAATCGCTGATGAATTGGGCAATTAATAAGCCTATAGCGAAGAACATACCTTGGAGCTCACGACGAAACATGAAATGGGAGATGAAACCACCGAGGCTAATGAAGACGGGAACTAATGAAATCCATGCTAAGAAATGGCCTAATTGATCTCCTCTTCTGTAACGGACATGGGTTAGGGTTACAGCTCTTAGTTGATTCGACATTGATGGAGTGAATTGATCAGAATTGGGTGTCATGTTTTAGGAGGTGATTGATTGATCAAATCTGGATTTAGGTTTGATTAGTAGTCGCCTTGGCTGCCCAACCACCTTTCATCAACACAATAACTAACTACTCATGAGTGGCCCTTTTTTTCCTGAAAATTTTGTATATTTCTTTAAAATATAATTATAATCAACTTCAAAACAAAAACTATAAATTTTGATAAAATTGACATCCAAGCATTTTACGATTCACTTTTAACTATAACAGCACCTTTCTTATTAGAAAACCCTTGAATAAATTTATAGTAAATTTATAGGAAATAATTTAAAATTTACACAAGTTTTGTTAACATTTAACAACTCTTAATAATAATAATAATAATAATAATAATAATAATAATAATAATAATAATAATAATAATAAACCACTTGAAAAGATTAAATATACTTATAACAATGTTGGACATTGAAACTAAGTGTAATTGATCCTAACTATAAAGCTAAAAGGAATGGATGAGGACTCTTACGCACAATGAAACTAGGTGTATTTGATCCTGACTATAAAGCTAAATGGAAAGGACGGATGATTCTTACACATAAAAAAATGATCACATCAGCTAAAAAGGAAATGACGAATGATTCTTACACATAAGAAAGTGGTGTAGATGTGTAAGTGAATTTTTTTGTGATATACCCCTTAGCCTAACTAGTCCTACAAAATATTAGACACTAAGATAAGATGCACATACAGGACACAATTTTTAAGGTCTAGAATTAAACATATTTTAGTAAAAAAAAATTACTTTTTTGTTGTTAGAAGTTTAAGATACAAAAGATCTTATAAATAAGTCTATCTATTTTATCTTTTTCTTATAACGGGTAATTGACAGTCTCTACCATTGGATTAAGATGCATACATCTTATTCCTTATTTACCTCATTCGGATATGCATAGGATATTGTATCTATTATAGTTGTTATTTTCACTATGAAGATTAGTAAGACAATATAAAAAGACATAACCCTTACAATTTAGATGACTCATATTGAACCCGTCCAAACAGTCATCATATTAAGATAAATTGTATAACACTATCAATATTTTAGATCCGTCATATTTGTAACATTGAGTATTTTTTATAATTATACAAATCAGCTATTAGACTTGTATCGTTTGTGGAAATTAATAGGACAATATACATTACTATTTTAGAGCATTTTAGAAAAGAAAACCAACATTGAAATTAACATCAATTATATTTTTTAATAATATATACATAAATACATTTATATGTATCTTATGTATTTCAAATACCAGCAAAGTAATTAAATAAAAACTTACATTTATATCCGTAATAATTAAAAAACTATATAATTCTTAATAATGAAAAAATAAAAGTCTTTGTGTTATTTTGAGTTTGATATTTTACCGTTATTATGATAGTTTATGTTAATTATGACCCAATCATTAAAAAATATTTCAAGATTTCACCCCTATAGGCTATAGCAACATTTGACATTAGGTATACGGTTACCCCCTAATTGCTGATTTGAAAGAACAAACCCCACATTGGATCCATCTGTGTCTGGTATTCAACATTACTGCAGAGGGTTTTGCTTGAGAACACGTTGAAAAACCTGAACTTGCTCCGTTTTTGGAGTCAAAACAATGGCCGATGAACACGCAGCGACACCCAAAAGAGACCCCATCAAGAATCATGGTTTGCTTTCTCTTTCCCTGAACAGTTCACATGTCAAATTCACGTCTTTCTTCACATGTTTGTTCGAGTTATCTTTAGTCGATTTTCGTTTTGAGTTATCGCTGTTGAGTATGTTAATTGAACAAATTAAGTAGATTATAGCTTCATGCGCTCTTTTTTCGAATGATAAAACAACTGTTTCACACTCAACCCCTTATATTTCCTCGATTAACATCTACTCTGCACTGAATCGATAACATCTACTCTGCACTGAATCGATATGATTTCATTTGGGTTTTAAGGGAAGTGAATTTGGAGGATAACCCTAAAACTGATAGTTTAATTTGTACATTCAACTAACCAATCCACCAATTTTAGACTCGAAATCAAAAATTCTACATGTAGAATAACTATTCGTTTTAATTACCCGATAGCTTATTCTTCAAACTACATAACATGTACTTGATACTTAGACTGAAATGTTATTTCATCATTGTAGTTGGGAACACTGCTGCACAAAAGAGAAAACAAAATGCAGTTTCAGTTGGTAAAGAAAGAAGAGAAGCTTTATTCAGAACCAAACGACTATGTAGAGCAGGAGTTAGCACCGATACAGATGCCCCCATTGATGATAATGACATGATGATAGAAGAAGAACAATCAATTCTAGAGTCTCAAACAACTTCAGCTGTCCAAGAATTAAACCTTGCAGTCACCTTCCAGTAAGTTATCCCCTTTCCACAATCCTCAATTTCACCACATCAAATACCCCTTCATTCTCTTTGATAATCCTCAGGGGAAAAGGTGCAGTTCAAAAGAAAGTAAATGCTCTTCGTGAGTTAAGACGTTTATTGTCTAAATCCGAGTTTCCTCCTGTTGAAACTGCTATAAAATCTGGAGCTATACCTTTACTTGCACAATGTCTTTCTTTTGGATCCCATGATGAACAGGTAATAAACAATAATAATAATAATAATAATGGTAATGACTTTCTTTCTTTTTAGCATACCCTTTTTTTAATATGTTTTAATGTTCATTCTGGATCCATAATACAGTTGCTTGAAGCAGCTTGGTGTCTTACAAACATAGCTGCTGGAAAACCTGAAGAAACAAGAGCTTTATTGCCTGCATTACCTTTACTCATTGCTCATATTGGAGGTTAGTGATAACTGATAAGTACTTAGTTTTTATTCTTTCTTGTTTTTTTTTTCATCACTTCAATGGCATAATTGTAATTTTGTAATTGTTATCCAGAAAAGAGTTCAGTGCCTGTTGCAGAGCAGTGTGCATGGGCATTAGGAAATGTTGCAGGAGAAGGTGAAGAACTGAGACAAATTCTGATTTCTCAAGGGGCATTACTTCCTCTTGCAAAAATGATGTTGCCAAATAAAGGTTCAACAGTTAGAACTGCTGCTTGGGCATTATCAAATCTTATCAAGGTATGTGTACTTCCACGTCAGCAATATATATTACACGTGTATGTCCTACATGGACAATGACATTTGCTATTTTTTCCAATTTCTCCTTTGATGAGTTATGTTTGTGGATGTAGGGACCAGACCCAAAGGCTGCAACAGAACTCATAGAAGTTGATGGAGTAGTTGAAGCTATACTAAGACACTTGAGGAAATCGTAAGTTTTTTACACCATATGTCATATATTTTTCAATATTAAATGGTTTTAACTTTTAATTTATTCTTTTATTATTTTTAGCGACGATGAATTAGCGACAGAAATAGCATGGGTTGTGGTGTATCTTTCGGCTCTTTCAACTGTTGCTACTTCCATACTTGTGAAGACTGATCTTCTTCAATTACTTGTTGAAAGATTGGCCTCTTCAAATAGCTTGCAATTGCTCATTCCGGTAACAACTTAGATACGATTTGCTATTTTAATTTAGAGTAAATTACATTTTTGGTCCCCGAGTAAAACTGATTTTTTCAATTTTGGTCCCAAAAAGTTTTCCCTTGCTATTTTGGTCCTTATTTGAAGTTTTCATAATGTTTTCTGTCGTTGTTCCAATTAAAATGACTATATTTTTGGGACCAAAATTGCTAAAGTTCACTATACATACATAGTAGGTACCAAAAATAATTATTTTACTTGGAACATGGACCCAAAACGCTACAAGAACCTCAAAAGAGACTAAAACTGCAAAAATCAGCTATAGTCAGGGACCAAAAGTGTAAATTACTCTCGAATTTATATAGTGATATACACATGTAGGTGCTTCGGAGTTTAGGTAATCTCATAGCAGGCGATGCTTACACAACTAATGCCATTCTTGTTCCTGGACATCAAATCACAGGCTAGTTTTATTTATTTATTTATTTTTCTGTTATTTTCTCAATTTAGTCCTTCTTTCTTTATTAAGTTGAATGAAACAACGTTTTATAAAATTTGCAGATAATATCATATCGGCATTAAGCAAGTGTCTAAATAGTGAGCACCGTGTCTTAAAGAAGGTATACTCTCTCTCTCTCTCTCTCTCTCTCAATATATATATATATATATATATATATATATATATATATATATATATATATATATATATATATATATATATATATATATATATATATATATATATATATATATAAGTTTAACATTTGTAGGAAGCTGCATGGGTGTTATCAAATATAGCAGCGGGTTCAGTGGGTCACAAGCAATTGATATATAAAAGTGAAGCGGTGGCATTATTAGTAGAGCTTTTGTTAACAGCGCCATTTGATATTAAAAAGGAAGCGGCGTATGTTGTGGGTAACCTTTGTGTTGCACCAGCGGAAGGTTCCGGAAGGTCAACTTTGATATTTGACCATTTGGTTTCATTTGTTAGAAGTGGATGTGTTCGTGGTTTTATTGATTTGGTTAGATCTGCTGATATTGAAGCTGCAAGACTTGGTCTTCAATTCCTAGAGCTGGTAACTTGTGATATTTATGTGTTTTTATATATTTTTTTTACTTTAACCTTTTTAAACTGTCATAAAATAATAATGGTTTGACTTTTTTTTTTTGTAGGTGTTAAGAGGGATGCCAAATGGTGAGGGACAAAAGTTGGTGGAAAGAGAGGATGGGATTGATGCCATGGAAAGGTTTCAGTTTCATGAAAATGAAGATCTTCGGAATATGGCTAACCAGTTAGTTGACAAATATTTTGGGGAGGATTATGGGGTTGATGAATAATATAGGAAATTTGTTTGTAATGTCCCACAAATTGATCATGTAACATTAAGGTTTGATATGGGTTAAGTGTTGGATGTTGAATATATGTATGTTGTCAATGGTAGTGATGATTTTGTGTTGATGTCACGTAGGCGGATGAATGTTAGAAATCGGAAGGAGGAACTTGCTAAAAAGAGTTTTGACATTATAGTCGTTTGTTTGTTATTTATGTTTAGTTATTTGTATAAAAAACTAGCGAAGTGTTGCAAGATAGCTTGATAAACAAGAAAATCTACTAAGTAGCAACCATGGTTATTAAGATCCATATCTTAATTTTAAGACCTTATGATTTTAACAGCATTAAAGGGAAAAATGATCTTGATCTTGTTATTCTATTGCCGATTCTTTAGTCTTGTAACACTACGAATTCTATAATTTCGGCTAAATAAATCACATGCATGACTTAAAAATTGCCTATTCAACTTAACATCAAGCCTTTAAAAATTCGCCAATTTAACTCAATATGGAGGTGTATCATATATTTCATATATCATCACAACTTCATCGATTCATTTTCAATTATAAAGAGAATCGTTACACATATGTTACCTAGTGAGTTTGTGTCTTTAGTTATACATGATCATATGATTTTTTTGTTTTTTCTTAATTGTTATGATTTGCATCTACAAATTTTATGATTGCTGCTTTAAAGTTAAAGTTTATACCACTGTTGAAGTATTAATCAACATCATGTTGTAATAGATATTTCACAAACAATAAATTGGAAGCAAATTTGAAGACTAATTTATTTTTATTGGAGCTTCCATTCTCAATATCTTACGATACATAAAATGGTTATAGATAAGATCTTCAATTTTGACTTTACTAGTCTACTATTATGTTATAAAATCAGAAAGAAAATACACAAAAATAATAAAAGTATTTTGGTGATTTAACTTAATATGTATTCAAATTCAGGATTAAAATAAACAAATGTGAATTTTGTTTCACTCAATTTATTGCGGGGAAATTCTAATTTCTTTAATATATTTCAATGTGATTTTAAAACATCATAAGGACCAAAAAGTTGAGAATAAAATAACAAAGAGCATTCATTGGAATAATCTACTTATAAGGGTATATATTGCTAATAGCGTATAGTTTAGGTCTATATCTGCAATAAAAAAGTTAAACCTATTTTCTGGTTTCTCAAACAGAGGTTTATGGTTTGTTGTCCTTTAAACCCTAATTTTGTGGCGCTTCATCTGTTCAAGGGAAATTGTTGATCGTGGCGTGGAGAAGTTGATTAAGTGAAATTTCTTAGGGTTTACGAATGACAGATAAGGATCCTTCTTTTCTTTTCTCCGGAATCACATTCAACCGGAAGAGATTCTCCAGTGATTTTGCTCGGTTCAAGGTAAAATAGTGCTTACCTAAGATTCTAGAGCTACTTTATCGTCATAAGAAATGTTCAAGTTGTCGATATCAAATTCAAGTTCCTAGTTATTTTGATTAGGTGGATTGCTTTTGGCACATATCTGATTGTTGTTTCACCGTGTTCCTGTTCAGGAAAAGAAGGAAATCAATGATTCCGAAGGGACATTGCCTGAAAACAAAAGTCCCGAGGTGGAGGTGGCAGCAAAGCCTGCTAAAAAGAGGAAGAGGAAGTCATCGGTTTCAGGTAATTCTAGAATATGGGTTTAGTTATATACAAGTACACCTGAATGCGTATAGAGATTTTCCAAGCTTCTTTATGTTCTTACTTTGATAGCTTGATTTGTTGCATTGATTTTAGACCCTGTAGAAGGATTTAATGTCTTCAAGAGCTCAAAAACAGAGCCAGTACTCGAAGAGAATGAAGAATCTGAAAATGCATCTGAAGGAAAGAAGGAACTATATAGACAAATGGAGGTTCTTTCTTTCTCTGATCATCTTATTCTATATGATCTGAGACAATTATATAAACATCTGATACAAACTTATTCCTTTTGTAAACTCTTTAAAACTCAGAGGGATGCAATTTTCCGTAAGCAGCATAACATTCATACATCTGGAAGTAACATCCCATCACCTCTTCATGATTTTTCAGAGTTGAGATCAAGGTACTTTCATATCCATTTCTACTATTTAATTATTTATAGAACGAAAATTTCACTTTTAATTATGTTCTTCACAGGTATAAATGCAAACCGTATATCTTGCGAAATTTAGCAGAACTTGGAATCAAAGAACCAACACCAATTCAAATGCAAGCCATTCCATTACTCCTATCTGTATGATCTTTTTTTTATAACACTAAGTTATTAAACTTTTTATATTTTAACATTTATTCTGAAGCTTCTTTTAACTTTTTATCAGGGTAGGGAATGTTTTGCGTGTGCTCCAACTGGTTCAGGAAAAACATTAGCATTTGTTTGTCCTATGCTTATGAAACTAAAGGTACTTAAGTAACTTCAATTCATTTGATATTGATTATAAACATTTGAAACAATTGTTTCACTGACTTTTTTTTTTTTTTTACATTATCAGCATGCATCAAAAGATGGTGTTCGTGCTGTTATACTTTTGCCTACACGAGAACTAGCCTCTCAAACAGCAAGAGAATGTAAAAAATTAGCAAAAGGAAAGAAATTTTACATAAGGTTAATGACAAAACAGCTTGCTAACACTGGTGAATTCTCAAAACTTCCTTGTGACATACTCATCTCTACACCACTTCGCTTAAAATCTGCAGTCAACAAAAGGAAGCTTGACTTATCCAGGTTAGTTTTTTCACTTCTAGTTTTACGGAAGGGCAATCTTGTCATTTTTCATAAGATAAAGAGAATGTTTAATATTGTTTTTTGGTTTTTTCAGGGTTGAGTACCTTGTTTTGGATGAATCTGATAAGCTATTTGACCTTGGTTTACTGAAACCAGTTGATGCAATTGTGAAAGCATGTTCAAATCCTTCAATTATTCGTTCATTATTTAGTGCTACTTTACCTGATACAGTTGAAGAACTTGCACGTACAATAATGCATGATGCTGTTCGTGTAATTATTGGAAGAAAGTAATATTTTATTTTTTACTTACATTTATTTACCAATATAGGCAATGTATGTATACTTACATTTATTTACCCATATAAGGAACTCTGCCTCTGAATCAATAAAGCAAAAATTGGTATTTGTTGGGAGTGAAGAAGGAAAGCTTATGGCTCTTCGTCAAACCTTTGAAGAGGTACAAATAATTAAATAATCATTTGATTTGGGATTAATGAAATATTGATTTTGATTTTATGAAATATTATTGTTTCTTTGCAGAGCTTGAATCCACCGGTATTGGTTTTTGTGCAAAACAAGGAAAGGGCGAAGGATCTTTATAAAGAATTGAGATTTGGTGATATTAGAGTGGATGTTATACATTCTGATCTGTCTCAAGAACAGGTAAAAAAATTTAATTCCAAAAATACAAAACATTAGAAATTGTTCATGATTTTTACTTTTTGAAATTTAATTCAGAGAGAGAATGCGATTGATAACTTTAGAGCTGGGAAGACATGGGTGTTGATTGCGACTGATGTGATTGCACGTGGGATGGATTTCAAAGGGGTCAACTGTGTGGTCAACTATGATTTTCCGGATTCCTCTTCAGCCTATATTCATAGGATTGGTAATGTTATTTTATAATTTTTCTAAATGTTTTTTTTTTTTTTTTGAAATTTAGATTTTGTTATTATTATTATTTTTAATTTTGTTATTTTATTAGGTCGGTCTGGGAGAGCGGGTAGGAGTGGGGAAGCGGTTACATTTTATACAGAAGCGGACATACGATACTTGAAAAACATCGCGAATGTGATGAAAGCAAGTGGTTGTGAAGTCCCCGAATGGATATTGTCTTTACCCAAGCTTAAGTGGAAAAAACATAGACCAAAAAGAGAGTTTTTGTCCACAAAACCACATGATGAAGAAGAAGAAGAATAAGTTATAATTAAGCATGTGTTACTTTTATGCATCCCCCACCCCCCCTAAGAATATGCTTGTAATACTTCAAACACAAACCCAATTTTGGTTGTAATAGGACACATGATTGGATTTTATGCATTCATTCGTTTCTCTCTCAAGTCTATTCCAACTTGCTCAATTTCATTCAACTCAATATCACCCCCTACCTTATCAAATGAACTCATATGTAACCACAATTCCTCTAAAACTCCATATATTTTATCCCTTTCGTTATGCAAAACATCTTCTACACAAAACACATGTACTAGTCCCTCAATTTCAATCCAACTTTGCCCCGGAACTTTACCTACACCCTTCTCTTTCATCAACCTTCTCAACTCACCAACCTCTTTCCACTTCCCTAAACCCGCATATATCCCACAAAGCAACACATAACCCGTATAATTCCCCGGATCAATCTTCAATATCTTCTCCACAACCCTTTCACCAATCTCAACATTATTATGCGTCTTACACGCAGCCAACACAGTCTTCCACATCACAACATCCGGATCATATGGCATCCAATCAATAAACGATTCCGCTTCTTTTATCAATCCACCTCGAGCAAGCAAATCAACCACACACGCGTAATGTTCTCGAGTTGGCATGATCGCGTGTTTTGTTTCCATGGAATTGAATAACTCCAATCCTTCTTTTATCAATCCCACATGGCTACAAGCGGTTAAAACACCAACAAAAGTCACACCATTCGGGTCGACCCGTGAATCTCTCATTCGTTTGAAGAGATCAAGAGCTTCTTTTCCGTATCCGAATTGAGCATACCCAAGAATCAAACTACTCCATGAGAAAACATCATGATAACACATGTAATCAAAGAGTTTTCGACCGTTTAAAAGGGACCCACATTTCGTGTACATGTCGATTAATCCATTTGTCATGCATATATCAACCTCAAAACCAGTTTTGATTATAAAGCAATGAACTTGTTCCCCTGTTTTTAAAGATGCAAGTTCCCGACAACCCACGAGTAAGGAAGCAAAAGTAACATGATCCGGGTTATTATTAGACAAAATCAGTAATCGAAAAAGTTTGAAAACTTTTTCCGATTGTTTATTCTGAATGCAAATGGTAAGTATAGTGTTCCAAGATACCAAATCTTTGTTGTTTTCAAGGTCATTAAAGATTTGAAAAGCATTAACAAGATCCGAACACTTTGCATACATTGAAAGTAAAGTATTACATACAGAAATGTGTATGTCTAACCCTGTTTTAGTGACGTAGGAATGCAATTGTTTACCTTGGTGTAGAGTTGATGGGGTTGTGAAAGCACAAAGTAGAGACCTAAGAGTAATGTCATCAGGTTTGAATCCCATGTTTCTCATCTTTGAGAAATAGAATACAGCTTCATTTACATATCCAGAATAAGCAAATCCAGCTATAATAGTGTTCCATGAAACAACATCGGGATTCTCAATCTGACAAAATGCAGTTTCTGCAGAATTCAAGAATCCAAATCTTGCATACATGTCACTAAGTGAACACCCAACAAAAGTGTCTTTTTGGAGCATGTGTTTTATACTCATTGCGTGTATTTGCTTTCCGTATTCTGGGTGTAGAAGGTTGCCACATGCACTGAGAATACTACCAAAAATGAACTCGTTTGGGTTGTATGTTCCATAGCTGAACATATTCTTGAAACAGGCTAAAGATTCTTGTTCATAACCAAGCTGAGAAAAGCCAGAAATCATAGAGCTCCATGATATTAAATCTTTTGTCCTTATACTGGAAAACACAAGTGAAGCCTCGGAAATTTTGCCAAAGTTTGTATACATTGTGATTAAAGCGTTTTGGGCTATGAGGTGAGAGCCTGATGATAACTTAATGACATTTGCATGCAGTTGTCTTCCTAACTTGATGCTATTCATACCTGATGAAGCTCTTATTATGCTTGCAAATGTAAACTGATCAGGCATAATGCCTGACAACCGCATTTCACAATACATCTTAATTGCTTCGTTTTCTTGACCAGTTTGTGAGTACCCAGCAATCATTGAAGTCCAAGAGACTACATTTCTCTCAGGCATTTTGTCGAACACCTTGCGAGCATCCTCTAATGATCCGCATTTTCCATACATGTTGAGAATGTGATTACAGAGAATCATATCTGGATGATAATTCGATGCTAGAATATGTTCATGAACTCTTCTGCCTTCTTCAAGCGATCTCAGAGACGAGCATGCAGAAAAGAGATGGGCGTAGGTGCTGGGCTTTACTTGAAAGTTGGTTCTTTCACGTAAAAAATCAAACCCATCCATTGCAGCTTTGAAAAGTTTTTGTTTACACAACGAACTAATGTGGTCATTGCTTGACTGATCTGTTCTGAAGTTGGAAAGAGCAATTGGTCTGCAAGCACGATTAGCGAGCGTTGCCATGGACATGCTATGCTATGATCCAATTTGAAAGCGAAGAGTCGATGGCAAAGCTTGAACTGATAAATTGTTGAGCGATGTGGAATCAAAATCTATATATGGCGTTCTCTATTGCAATGGCGGGGTCAATCGACTCCACGGCCATGTCAATATCTTTCGCATATCACCATCTTTTTGGGGACAAATCAAGTAACATTCAAAAACTATTACTATAGTTATGTCATTAAAATATATAAATTTTCCAAGATATTCACTGTTTTTTATTTATCTAATTTTTTATCTATAAATCTATAATTTTTATCTATAAATTATGATTATTTTTGCTATTCATTTAGCTTCTTCACACGTCCTTTAAATCCTAAATTACAATTTAATCCACTAAAAAAATTGTACTCCTTAGAAAGGAACACATTTTTATGGAAGGTCAAACATTCTTAAGAACCCTATCATTATTAATCATCTTTTTTCTTTCCTTCACCTAAAACCAAAGAATTGGTAGGAAATTTTCTTCACTATTTTGTTTTTTCTTAATATAATTAATTTATTTTTTATGATTTAATTTTTAAATTAAAAACAACAAAAAAGAATATGCATTTCATTAGTTAAAATAAAAAAAATACAATAAACATAAATTTTAAAAAAGTTGAAAATTAAAAAAAAAAACACATAAAAAAATCAACAAACCAACAACAACCTACAGAAAATATTTTTTCACAATTTTTTTCCTCTTCTTCATCACAAGCTCGAGCTCGAGAGCTGGTCTAGAGAGATGGTCGGTGTTTTCCATCAAAAACTTCATATCCTCAATTGTTGTGTCTCTGTCCGTTCCTTCTTCCTTGCTTCTTCTTTTTCTTTGTCGAACGTCAAATGTTCAGAGAAATTAAGATTGTATCGATCAGACGACGTTGTTATTTTCCGCATTTCGTCAATATTCATGCTAAAATCTGATGCACCCGAAGAAGTCTTTTTTCCCTTTCTTTTTGTTTTGTCCCTACCCATCGGTCGGACAATTTCTTCTAGCTCGAGTTCGTCATCCTGATTTAAATCTAGACCGACCTGAGCATCCGAGGAAGTTGTGTAACCACTAGAGCCTGTTTTCGTTCGCTTTGATTGTTGGACTCCAAAAATAAGATATTGCTCGTATTTTTTCCATCTAGAACATCAAACCAATAATTTCCAACAATCATGCCACTTGAATGGTTTTCCGACTTCCTTAAGGTAAAATTGCAAAGCTTCTTGAAGTATTTGTTTGTCGCATTGGTCGCTTTTTCGTTAGGTTTTTAGGTTGTTGTACAACCCGTTTATTTTTGAAACCCCCTTTGCTATTTCTCAAAACTTCGAATTCAGTTGGTGTTTTGTACAGTAGTCGTCAGCTTTTTCTAGCTCCTCCCGAAACCATTCTAAAAATGCGTAACCAAAAATGCTTTCCCGGTTGTGTATTTCCATGAATCGAATCCTCAAAAATGTCAACCTAAGCTTTTACCAAAACTATCTCTTCTTGTTGAAGCCATGTTGTCAGCTTTTGTCTTCCTGATTGTGCGACACCCTCGCGCGCTTGTTTTTTTTTTTTTTTTTTTTTCCTTTATGCCATTGTGGGGTGGTGTGGGTTGAATTTCAGGAACCATCTTTTCTTCTTCCGAATCATCCAACTCATCGGTAAGTTGGAATTGTTGTTAGGTTTGGCTTTGAGTTTGGGTTTGGGTTTGGGGTTGATTTGAATTTGAGGTTGATTTGGCGAATGTTGATCGAGAAAAACAACAAAGTTTGATAACATTTGCAGAGTAACATTTGGAACTTAGACCGGGTAATATTGTCTAACATTTTGGTATTGAAATTGTAGTGGAGGTTGAATGGGAGCATCGAGTTGAGGACGATAAACTCCTTGTGATGATGAATCAATAGCAAAAATGTTTCGAGTAGGGATGCATAACTCGAAACATTAGTTTTTTTTTTCCTTCGATTGAAAGTCGGGGTTTGATTGTCGAGATTCTTTTTTTTTTTTTTTGAAGAAAATAAAGGTTGTAGAGGGTTTGTTTGAATGTTGATTGATGGTAAATAGTTATGAGTATTTATAGATGTTTTAAAGGGTAAAAAAAAGAGTTTTAATGCATATAGCCGTTGGTAAAAAAAATACCGTTAAAAAAGGGATAGTTAAAAAAAAAATTCCACCAATCGACGAGGGAGAGAGAATGCTGCAAGGGGTTCCCTCACCGGTTCACCCATTTCGCACCGACGGTGCAGTGTTCCGCCGAGCAGGAAGCTTCCCGCTTCCATTCCGTCTGGCCTAAGAAAAGAGTATTTGTAGACCACATGGCATCTCCTCGTTGCATCCTCAATTCATTTTCCCGATCATTTTTCCAAAATTAAATTCTCAAAATACCCCGAAACTCTATCTTCTCATATGTTTATTCCCAAAATCATGCCTCTATGACCTTTGATTTCGCATTCTTAGTTTTGGAAACCAATTTAAAATATTCCCAAATCCTTCATAAGATGAAAACTTCGATTTCTCTCTACCTTTCTTCTGAAATCAATGATAGCTTTACAATGAGAATGTGAAATCATGTTTTTTCTACAAGGCTGAAGCTTTATAACCTTAATGGCAGGTTTTCTAGAATTTTTGATAACAAAGATAGATGTTTTCTAGATTTTTTCTTAACAAAGATGGTGGTGTCTGGGATTATTATGCTCTTCCTATGGATTTAAATTTCTTCTTCTTTTATTGTTTAGTTCTTGATGAGTCTAACTTGGAATATTTGTTCAAACCCTCAAATACAAAGAAGTTATCACCAATCGATTTCAAAAATATTCTAAGTTTGATTATTTGGTTTGTTAATCACCATCGATTACGGGTTAAACTGAGATTTTGGTGCGGTCTCTAGGTTGTAATCGCCACCACCACCGATTTACCGTCACCGTTTATTTCCCTTTATCTTTATGGATTAATGTTATTAACTAAATGCATAGAAGAACCAAATTTTGAATACCCCAAACGAACCAAATCGGTACTCTCCCAATTTTATGATGCATAAAAGGAAGGAGCACTCTCATTTGTAAGTTTTTCTTATTTTTTTCCTTGAGTCATCTCCTTTTACTATCTTAAGAATAAGATTGTGAAGTTTTGATGCATTAAAGGTTGAGATATACTGATTTCAACATTTTTTTTCCTTTTTATTTATTTAAGATGATAAAAAATTTGATTTTGGGATATTCACAACGCAACTAAGAAGAAATAAGTAGATCTTATGTGTTTTGATGTTTGAAGAACGTCTATTGTATCTAACTTAGGTGATTGTAATATCATTCTTTTATGTTTATAATTCTGATTTATATTTGATGTAAAATACATTGTAGCTCTACATTTCATTGTCTAACTTAGGTGAATGTTAACCAAGTTCTCCAAGTGTGACTTCTGGTTGCACGATGTTCAGTTTTTGGGACACCATTATAATAGTATCTTAGTCGATCCAGCCAAGGTAGAGGCGGTGATGCAGTGGGAAGTGTCGAGATCTCCATTTGAGATTCGAAGCTTCCTCGGATTGGCAGGTTATTATCGGACATTCATCAGAGACTTTTCCAAGATTGTTGTTCATCTCGCCAGGTTGACAAGGAAGGATGTTGCTTTCAGTTGGGGGCCTGAGCAGCATGCATCATTTAAGACTCTTTGCCAAAGATTGTGTGAGACACCAACACTTGCCCTCCCTAAGGGAGTTGAGGACTTTGTGGTCTACTGTGATGCATCCATTGTAGGATTGGGTGTTGTGTTGATGCAAAGATGACATGTGAAAGCATACGCTTCGAGGTAGCTGAAGCCTCATGAAGCGAAGTATCTCACGCATGATTTAGAGCAGGGGTCAGTGGTTTTCGCCATCAAGATTTGGCGTCACTATCTGTATGGTGTTTAGTGTACCATGTACACATACCATAAGAGTCTGAGATATCTTATGGATCAGCCTAACTTTGATATGAGACAAAGGAGGTGGTTGGACGTAGTGAAAGACTATGAATGTGAGATCATTGTATCATCCGGGCAAGGCCAATGTGGTGGCCGGTTCCTTGAGCTAGAGGGCGACAAGTGCCCCGATTCAAGATATGTGCATGAAGATGACCGTGATGACTCCATTCTTAGAGATCATTTAAGAAGCACAGTCGGAGGCCATAAAAGAGGAAAATCGGACAAGTGAGCGGGTGATCGGTCAGATTTCAGCCTTTGACATTGACAACCGAGGACTCTTTTGACTCTTCATGGGCGGGTATGGGTATTGTATGTGGGTGGACCGACGGATTTTGATGGAGGAGGCCCACAAATCAATATTTTTCATCAACCTAGGGCCACCAAGATGTATCTCGACTTGAAGCATAATTATTGGTGGTCATGTATGAAGAGAGATGTGGCATGGTTTGTATAGTGATGTTTGACCTGCCGGAAGGTCAAGACTGAGCACCAACGCCCTCATGGAAAGTTGCATCCTCTAGAGGTCCCCTATGGAAGCGGGAGCAGATTAATATAGATTTCATTATAAAGTTACGGAGGACTGTGAGGGGTGTTGACACTATCAGGGTGATAGTGGATCGTTTAACGAAGTGTTCACTTCCTAGCCATCAGTGAGAACTGTTGTGTAGAGAAGTTGGCTGAGATTTACATTCGAGAGGTGGTAGCTCAGCATGAGGTGCCGACATCTATTTTGTCTGAATGGAATGTATGCTTTACTTCCAGGTTTTGGAAGAGATTTCATAAGGAGTTGGGTACCCGACTACACTTCAGTACCGTATACCATCTGCATACGGATGGGAAGAGCAAGCGGACGATTCAGATGCTCGAGGATATGTTGCTTGCTTGTGTTATTGATTTTGGTGGGAATTGGGACTCCTATCTTCCGTTGGTTGAGTTTTCTATAACAACAAACATCATGTCAGTATTGATATGCCCCAATTCGAGCTCTTTTATGGTCGGAGATGTCGGACTCCTATTTATTGAGACGAGGTGGCATAGAGGATCATATGGAGCAAGGAGGTTGTGCTTAAGACGATTGAGCTTATACACCAGGTTCGACAGAGATTGCTGAGAACGTAGAGCCGCCAGAAGAGTTTTGCGAATCAACGACGCTCTAAGCTAGAGTTTCAGGTGGGAGATCTAGTGCTCCTGAAGGTGTCACCCTAAAAGGGTGTTATCTGCTTTAGGAAGCAGGGCAAACCGGGCCTCAGGTTCATTGGCCCTTTCCGAGTTTTGGCCGGTGTGGGCAAGGTGGCCCACCGGTTGGAGCTACCGGAGGAGCTGATAAAGATTCATGATACCTTCCGTGTTTCCCAGCTAAGGAATTGTATAGTTGATGTGACATCTGTGGTCCCTTTGGAGGACATTTAAGTTGACGATCACCAGAATTATGTGGAAAATCCTGTATCTATTTTGGTTCTGAAATTGAAAACCTTGAGGAACAAGGTTGTCAACATGGTCAGGCTTTAGTGGCAGCACTAGAGAGGTTCGAGGTAGACGTGGGAACCCGAGTCCAAGATATGTGATCAATATATGGAGTTATTTCGTGAGGATGACTTCGAGGGAAAAGTCTGATTCTAATGGGGGAGAATAGTAACATCCCGAAATAATATTTTTTTTTATCTCTTGCATCTTTATCAAAAATAGCACATTTAGTCCCTTAAAGAAAAAGGCATGCAGAATTAGTCATATGCATGACACACATATGAGTACGGGCAACGTACTCATGCAGTGTGTATGATTGCGGAAGGCCAGCTAGTATGTTGGGCGTATGTGTGGTATGTCGGGCGTACTATCCCAGACTTCAACCCCTAATTTTAAGGGTTGCCTTTATTTAATGAAAATTATGTCTTCATTTTGATCACCCTTATATGGGTTATAGTTCTTGGTGCTTGAGGTCGCATTGCTTTGTGTGGTAGCCAACAAACCCTGGAGCATTCTTGATGTGAGCTGAGGGTCGGGAAGGCAATGCCATACTCATACTGAATGCTCAGGGCTCAAGAGCATTTCAGATACGAGCTAAGGACCGGGTGGTATGTCAGACTTGTAATGAGGGCTTAAGGGTATTTCAGTTTGAAGACTGATTTAGTCAGGAAGCAGGCCAGACATAAGTTGTGGGCCCAGAGGGCAAGCCAAACTTATGATGTGGGCTCAGGGGTAATCCGGTCTGATGTGGACCCAATACATGTTGTTATTGTATATGTTATATGCTTATGTGTTGTTACTTTTGTGAAACTCACTAAGCTTTGGCTTACGTGTTTTATTTGTGGTTTTAGGTACTTCAGATGATCAAGGGAAGATGAATGCGTAACCATACATATCCTTATCTCTATAACTTATGGTTTTGGGAGACTCTGATGTTGGAAAAATGTTTTGAAAACTGTGACTTGTAAACAATTTATGAAATGGGTTGATTTTAAAAGTTTATTTTTTATTTATTTATTATTATTTTTTTATTTTTTTTGTGATTTGTATGGTTTACATAAAAACTTTTATGTCAATAACCCTATAAACAATAATATATTTTAATAAAAAAACAAATCTAAATATACTATTGAAATTTCACCATGCGTAGACACCTTTTAAATTTTACAAAAAAAAAAGGTTATAACTATATATACATGTAAGCCCATTTTTTAATGAATAATTTATAATTCATAAAAACTAGAGAAATATTCTAATTAAGTCATTCCATCTGCTATTTAACGATTTTATAAATGGGCAATGTTTATATTTCTCTCTACCAAATCAAAGATGAATTGTTTCTATCTGTGATTTGCTCTCTTTTCATATGTTATTTTATGATTTTTTTATTAAAAAAAACTTATGTTTGACTATGAAATTGATAAGATTGACTGTGAATTTGTAATGAGTGTATTTTATATAAAAAGAACAAAAAATATTTAATGTATTAGTTATTTCTTTAGAAATTTTGTATTGGTTCTCTTTAGAATTTTTGTTTCGTTCTTTGAAGTTGGGAACCTGAGAGTGTTTTCGAACTTGGGAGATGAAAAAATGAGGGTTCCCCCCCCCCCCCCCCCCCCCAAAAAAAAAAAAAAAAAAAAAAGTATCAATACTAGCATTGGTCAAAATCGCAAATAAACTTGGTCAAAATCGCAGTGAAAGTCTAGCTATAAATATACAAGCCTTTTATGCATAGTTCGTGCATTAGTGACCTCTACATTGCAGATGGACTTCCATCTGCGATTTAACCCCATATCCATCTACGATTTGGTTAGCTATTTTGCTTAGTTGCCTAATTTTTGGCAATTTTTCTAAAATGTCATTAACAAAAATTGCTAGATTTGCAAATTTCTTAATTTTATTTGGAACCGACAAATGATTAATTAAAAAACAGAGGACCTCGACAAGCAAGGAGCTAGAGAGAGTCGAACCAACCAATACAAGAGGGTAAAAATACACATGCTAAACAACAATACAGAAACATTACAGACACAAAAGCGGACATGAACACCAATCATTCCAACAAACATTACCATTTTTACCCTTATGTTTAAACCGGACGGACACCATGGATTGAAGCAAGTCACCTTTTGGGGAGATATTTTATTTTTGTTAAAAACTCCCGTTACGAGCCATCCAAATGCCCTAAATCGAGTCGTAGCACATGCCCAGGAGAATTTTCTTCTTATTCTTACATGTACCCTCTTTGAGATTTCATTCACAACTCCTTACAATTTGTACATTGAATCACCGATATTCCACACCATTTAAACACACGAGCCCAAGTCTCTTTAGCAAATTGATAATCCCATAACACATGGTTAGTGTCTCCTCTTCCGTGTTGCAAAATCCACACATCGTGGAATCAATATTTACACCTCGTTTAGATAGGCACACAACAGTAGGGATACGATATGTTAAAGCCCTCTAGATAAAACATTCAACCTTCAGCGGAACCTTCTTTATCTAATCAATCAATTCCATGTGTGAAGTTGAGATTTTTATCAATATGATGCCTCGGAACCTCCGCTATTTAACGACCATCTGATGCCAACTCACACATCCATGAATCTTGGTTGTATTTTAGTTGGATGGGACCTATATTCGTATGAGTTGGTTCATGAGGTTACTGTTCGGATTGCAGATCCAAGACCACATAAATCTTGCATCATAAATCCTATCTGCAACGATACATTTCTTATAGGAATCCATATGGTATAAATCAGGGAACACTTGTTTAAGTGGACCTAAGGGGTGTGTGGGGTATCTTTTCAGAGGGCAAAAGAACTTTTGGAAAAAGTTCCAAAAAGTCACGTTTCCTGACTTTTCCAAAAAGTCAGTTTTCTTTCTTTAAAAAATCTAAAAGAAGCTTTTAAGGAGCTTTCCCAAACATTTTTTCTCTGTTATTTTTTCCAAAAATCATTTTACCATCTCAAAAGATATCCCAAACACCCCCTAATAGAAAGGTAACTTGGTTATTTATTGTGATATACTAAAAAGTTTCTTCAATGGAGATTGTAACATTTGGACGAAATTCGTAACTGTGAGTATAAAGAAGGGACCGAAATTATAATTTTCTTTAGAAAATGTCGAGACATTTAGAGCCAAGCATGCATTAAATGAGCGGTCAATTCCTAATTTTGATACCAGGTGTCGGAAAAGGTTGGAAATATTTGACGTGGCACTTTGAGAACGAACAGAACCTACATTCACCGTTGGATCATATTAACATCGGACGGTCACGGAAAAACCCTAAATGGGAGAGAATTTAGGGTGCGTATGGCTGTCTTAACCTTCGGTATATAAACCCCTATATGCTCTCTCTGTTCTATATTCTCTATTTAGTCTTCGTCTTTTCGCCGTTCTTCAAATTTCTTTGATCGAAGAGGAATTCACTGTTTCTCAAAGGTTAGATCTCTTCCTTTTTGATCTGTAATAGTCGCTGAATTCTGAGTTTGAATGTTTGTAACTGTTTACTGATCGCTTGATTGTCGAATTTAGAATTGCTTCAAGATATGTACGATTTTTCTTTCGATTTTGTTTATCGTTATGATAGAAGTAGTGTTGTTGAAATTGAACACTGCTTTGTTCTTAATGACGTGATTATATGAGTTTGTGACGATGTTCGTGATTCGGACCTACATTGTCTGTTTTGGATTTTTTAAGCGGATTATGCTTTATACAAGTTCTGTTTTCTCATTTTTCTTTTTATCTTAGAAGTTTACTGTTATAATACATTTTCTGTAGTTGTTCGTGCTCACAAATTTCTGTTCAAATAAACGTTTCTCGTCAAAATTTTTAAAATCTGTTCATCTGCTACATGAATCTAGACAATGTGTTGAGCTTCTAACGTTTTAAGCCCTAATTATTGCGAAATTTTTCATAGTTTTCGTGAAAATTAGCAGCTATTATTCATGCAGATCGTGTTTGTTTGTTTAATTTGTTAAAATCTTCGGAGACGTGTTATTGAATGTGATTTATCTTCATAGACGTGTTATTGACTTTGAGTTGTATTCGTTTTGATCAATTGCAGCTGTTAAACCATGGGTAAGGAAAAGGTTCACATTAACATCGTCGTCATCGGCCATGTCGACTCTGGGAAATCAACCACCACCGGTCACCTGATCTACAAGCTTGGTGGAATCGACAAGCGTGTGATCGAGAGGTTCGAGAAAGAAGCTGCTGAGATGAACAAACGTTCATTCAAATACGCCTGGGTGCTCGACAAACTGAAAGCCGAGCGTGAACGTGGTATCACCATCGATATCGCTCTCTGGAAATTCGAGACCAACAAGTACTACTGCACAGTCATCGACGCTCCCGGCCATCGTGATTTCATCAAGAACATGATCACCGGAACCTCCCAAGCCGACTGCGCCGTCCTCATCATCGACTCCACCACCGGTGGCTTCGAAGCTGGTATCTCCAAAGATGGTCAAACCCGTGAACACGCTCTCCTCGCTTTCACTCTCGGTGTCAAACAAATGATCTGTTGCTGCAACAAAATGGACGCCACCACCCCGAAATACTCAAAAGCCAGATACGATGAAATCATGAAGGAAGTCTCAACCTACCTCAAGAAAGTCGGTTACAACCCTGACAAAATCCCATTCGTCCCAATCTCTGGATTCGAAGGTGACAACATGATTGAAAGGTCAACAAATCTCGATTGGTACAAAGGTCCAACTCTCCTCGAAGCTCTTGACCAAATCAACGAGCCAAAACGTCCCACAGACAAACCACTTCGTCTCCCACTTCAAGACGTTTACAAAATCGGTGGAATTGGAACTGTTCCAGTCGGGCGGGTCGAAACCGGTATCATCAAACCCGGAATGGTCGTCACTTTTGGCCCAACCGGTCTAACAACTGAAGTCAAGTCCGTTGAAATGCATCATGAAGCTTTGTTGGAAGCTCTACCAGGTGACAATGTTGGATTCAATGTGAAGAATGTTGCTGTGAAGGATATCAAGCGTGGGTATGTCGCTTCGAATTCTAAAGATGATCCTGCTAAAGGTGCTGCGAGTTTCACTTCTCAGGTGATTATCATGAACCACCCGGGTCAGATTGGAAACGGGTATGCTCCGGTGTTGGATTGCCACACGTCTCATATCGCTGTGAAGTTTGCTGAGATTTTGACAAAGATTGATAGAAGGTCTGGGAAGGAGATTGAGAAGGAGCCGAAGTTTTTGAAGAATGGTGATGCTGGAATGGTGAAGATGATGCCGACTAAGCCTATGGTGGTGGAGACGTTTTCTGAGTATCCGCCGTTGGGGAGGTTTGCTGTGAGGGATATGAGGCAGACGGTGGCTGTTGGTGTTATCAAGAGTGTCGATAAGAAGGATCCTACTGGTGCTAAGATCACCAAGGCTGCTGCGAAGAAGAAATGAATTTTGGTGGGGAAGGGGAAGGTTTGTTTTTCGTTTTTTAATTTTCGTTTGGTGTCGTGTGTCGGTTTGTGTGTTTGGTTGGCGGTGGTGATGGTGGTGTTGTTGCGGTTTCGTGTTCGTACTTGGGTGCTGGATAGGCGGTGGCGTCTTTATTTTGTTTGTTTTTGTTGAAGACAATTTTGGTTTTGGATTGGAATATGATTGGTTGAGTTGAGTCATATTTGGCTTTTTGGTGTTTTATGCTTTTTAATATTTAACTTTTGCAGTTATATAACACATTTAAAACGGATAACTAAAACTTTAAACAGAATATTTTGTTTTTTAGTTGATTCATTACCAATTGGATTTTGCATAGAGTTGCAGAGCACTTTTAACTTTTCTGTCTATTTTTTTTATTAATGTCTTTTATAAAGTATTTATTATATTCTTACCTTGGTTCTTTTTGGGTTGGATATAAAGATGTAAAATCTTTGTGCTTTTTGGGTTGGATGACCAATCTGATATGGTTGTTGGAATATGTGAGAATCTTAATATTAAAAGGTACAGAAAATAAACATAAACAAAACAAAATTTATATTTTGATGTAGATAATACATATGTTTTGTATATTAGTAATATTAAAAATGGTATTTAAGATATCAAAAAACTATATTATAAGGTTTATTTCGATAAAACATTAATCAAATCATAAAATCAAAGTGTTTTATACAAAAAATATCATGTTTGCAAATCTTGGGATAATCTTCAATATGGTTTTAAAAAAACTAATTTATAGGCGTTGTTTTTATAAAAGAGAAGAATTGGATTTATGGTCGTTATTTTTTACAATAAAATACATAAGTTGTACTATTATTTGAGATGATTATTTTATTTATTATTATCTTATACAAACAATGAAATAGAGCTGAGGATGTAATCAAACACCATCGTTAAGGAATTTTAGTCCCACTAAAAAGACAAAGCCAGTGGATTATATCAATATCTTTAAGGAGTTTTAGTCCCAACTATAAAGGCAAGAGTGGACCATATAATATCATATATTATGTTAGCTTCCTTGTGTGATTTAACTTCAAATAACGTTCTTGAAACTATCAAATATCAATGCACATCTTCAATGATTTTTGTCCTGAAATTTTTAGAGGATAAATAAATGATAAGACTTTCAAATCCTAAGAACAGTACATTCCTTGCTTTGATAAAGGAAGACGATAACGGCGACTTGGTTTGGGTTTATAAGGGATGAAATAGCCCGCCAAAAATAGGTATGTGATATGGCGCCAAAAGTTCCCGCCATCTTTTACCGTACAGCTCTTCTTCCGGTAGGGATGCATTGGATAACTAATATTACTAGTGATGTAAAGAAAAAGATGGATGTAAATTTCATCACTAGTAATATTGGTAACAACAGATATGACATTTAACTGCAGTTAAAACTTATCTGAAAATAAGTAATTTTTCAATCAACAACTAACTGTCAAAAACTGTTAACGAAATTAACCAACAAAATTTTCTCCCAACGATATTTAAACCATTTGCACTGTTTATGCATCTTTTGACTTATCAATTCATTTTTTTTTCACGAATACAGGACTAGCAAAAATGTAAAGTATGTTAATAAAGATCAACGCCCTTTGGTTGACGTTTTGAAAGCATGCCAATAATAGCCATGTAAGTTATTTTTAATTTCGTATTCAATTATTTCATAAACCACCAAGCAAATTCAACCAAATCGCTATTGTTTTAATAGTAATATATTATATGTTTTTCTATCTAATAACTTAGTAAGTTATCAATAATAATATATTGGTCAAGTCTTCAAAAGAAACATTGCTATATTGATATATGTTTTATATTAATGAATAATCTGAATCATAAAAAGACCATTGTGCAAATTAAATCCGTTCATTGATGTTTGATTATATACAAACGCATCTATGGTAAACAAAAGCGATGATTACCCTAAATAATGACGAATAAAACATATGGTTCATATATGATATGTTTGATGCATTTGTAGCTGGTTGACTTACAAATTTAATATTTATAACTAATGAGCAACCTCATCATAGACACGTAATATAACACGATTATTAAAGAATTCGTTTATCTGTTCTTTAATAGCGGGTCATATATATTTTTCAATAGTGACCAAGACCTTCAAAAGTTACTTTTTATGTAATAAAAAGAATATACGCACGACATTACAATATACAAATAAACAAAATGAATACATAGTTAATTTGTAATTAGCCCTTCAATTAAATAAAAATACGTGATATTAAAATTTGGGATTACCTAAACTTCACACCAACTTTAGGTGATGATTTGTAAACCTCAACAACCATTTGGTAGCAAATCTTTCTTCTACTCCAAGGGATGACTTTGTGAAGCAATGCTCTCATATTCCACTTAACATAAAAATAAGTAACATTATATATCTTCTTCTAGTACCTCGGTTAAAGATCATGTAACTATATGTTAAAAACTTCGAGCGTTATTATTATATCATATTTATTTAAAATGACTTTTAAGAGAAAGTAGGATTTAACATTGATTATCCACTAATTATTTTATTTGTATGGCTTTTAACATTTTATTTTTTGTTAAACAATTGTATACATAAATTCTATAATCATATCAGTTATAATTATGAAGACAAATGGCCGATAAATCGAGACTAAATTTTATTCTAAATAATGTAAATAGAAAGCTGAAAAAGTTTAACATAATAATAAGAAATCTAAACGAATATTGCAAAATTTAAAACATCTCTCTCTCTCTCTCTCTCTCTCTCTCTCTCTCTCTCTCTCTCTCTCTCTCTCTCTCTCTCTCTCTCTCTCTCTCTCTCTCTCTATGCAGTGCGCATATACATACATACATACATACATACAAATTTACACACAGTTTTTTAGTCGAATAAAAGGACATTCAAACAACTAGCAATGGAGTTCACCTGTAGCAATCATAAATCAACTGCTCCATCTAATTCTTTGAAAGAAAGCTACTATTTAATCCCTGTCAACTCCAGAAACATATAAATCCACCCTACATATTCCATTTTTATCATCATCCAACCTTTACCCCTTTCTATCCCACTAAAACTCTCGATTCTTCCTCTTTTTTTTTTTTCCCTATATTTACATGGGATCATCAGAAAGACCAAAGAAGAAAGTCCACTTATGGAAGAAAGCCACAGTCCATTTCTTGTTATGTTTCATCGTGGGATTCTTCACTGGCTTTGCCCCTACAAACAAGTCTTCTTTCTCTCTTACTAATAATGTTATTCCATCCAACGGTTCACAGGAGATCTCTCCACCACCAGAAAAAATCCTTGACCGAGTTCCCGAACAAGAAAGTGGGAATTTTGATAGGAGCATGTTGGATGAATCTTTATCAATGAAAGTGCACCAAAGGCCTAATATGGGTTCAATTGAAGAGGAGGGTAAAAAGGTAATTTTGACTAAAGAGAAGGACGAAACGGTAACTTTGACTCCCCGAAGGCTTGTGATTATTGTTACTCCAACAAGCGATAAAGATGAGCTTCGAGGAGTGTTTTTGAGGAAAATGGCAAACACGTTGGCGTTGGTCCCACCACCACTGTTGTGGGTAGTTGTGGAATCACAGTCTGAATCCGATGAAGTATCAGATATTTTGAGAAAAACTAATGTGATGTATAGACATTTGGTGTTTAAGGAGAATTTTACGGATGTGGAAGTGGAAATGGATCATCAAAGAAACGTTGCGCTTAAACACATTGAATATCATAGGTTAAGTGGAATTGTTCATTTTGCTTCACTCTACAATGTTTATGATCTAAGCTTCTTCGAGGAGATTCGGGCCATTGAGTAAGTTAATTATTTCCCCTCTCTTGATATCATAGTCTTATACATGTTATCAAAACAGTATTATCCTGGTCCAGATCTTATTACATTGATCCTAGTTTTTATTCATATTTTTTCTATTAGGACATTCCTTTTGTTTCTTTAGTAAATTAATTGTGGTTGTTTGTGATTTGGCATATGTTGAATTAATTGATGATTGAATGTTGGATGTAGGGTTTTTGGGACATGGCCAATGGCGTTTTTGTCGGCAAATAGGCAAAGGGTGAGAATTGAGGGACCAGTTTGTGATTCTTCAGAAGTTATAGGGTGGCATTTGAAAAGTTTGAACAATTCAGCAGATGATGCGACCAGATCACCTGTTCACATCTCAACCGTTGGATTTAACAGTTCGATTCTGTGGGACCCGGAAAGATGGGGCCGGCTTTCATCTGCCCAACACACATCTCAGGTACTCGACTACTGGTACTCTATCAGGTCCCACTAATTTACATTTTACCCCCTACTAAAAAAGAGAAAGTGCACAAACAGCTCCTGCCGAAGCTACATTTTGTATCAACATGTAGCTTATGCTATTACAATGGCAAATAATATATGTGGCAATGGTCCCAATATCTTTTAGCAAAGAGGGTGGGAGTACTGTGGAGTGACCATTGTAACAATTTGTATGTTCATATTTATCTCGCCAACATATATTAGTAACCTTTTGATAAAGATAATAAATGTTTTCTATACAAAATAGGTTACATGATTATTTTATGGATTCCTCTTTGTTAACTCTTACTAATTTGTACTTTGTTTTTCAATTTGCAGAATTCTATAAAGTTTGTTAAAGAAGAGGTCCTTGAAGAGGAAACAAAGTTAAAGGGGGTCCCACATGATGGGTGCTCCAAAGTCATGCTATGGAATCTTCATATTCCAAAGAGTAATTAGCGCAGTAACCAAATGTTTTATATCATTCTTCAATTTTGTTTTAGTTCAAGTACAATTTTTAGTCGATTTGGCATATATATATATATATATATATATATATATATATATATATATATATATATATATATATATATATAGGAAAAATGAATATATGACTTTCATGTATGTAATATTATGTATAGAACCATCAAAATTAACTTCATTTTGATTAAAAAAACACAATTTGCT